CATTTCCTCTTTGAATGCCCCAGACCACCTTCCTCCTCCGCATGGCCCACCCTCTGCTTTTCTTTCATTCTGAGATGGGCGGAGTAAGAAAATCGACTTTATTTTTTCCTGTTGTGATTTGAATCCAGGGGCTCTTATCGTGCATTCGTTTCTTTTCCCTCTGATTCTATATCTATACTTAAATAATACTTGGGAAGTTACTTACTGGATTCCTTAGGCTCATAAACTGTTTGTGATCCTTGATAAGCTTAATATAGTCATATTAAAAATTAATAGGAAAGGTATATTGTTTCCAACTTTATGATCTAATTCATTTTATTTAATATATGACCACAATTCTAAAATTACTTAAAAACAGATGTGATGAGACTGAAATCAATTCTGGGTACCCTTCCTTTATTACTGTCATGAGGCAGACAACCTATGCTGCTCTTTCTCATGTGACATTTGGAGTCAGATGTGGGTGCAGCAAGCACCCTCCTTGGAGGCTTCAAATGCATGCTCTGTGAAAGATTATGTGCAGGCTCTTTTTAAATGCTGCCGTTAAAAAAATAAAATTTAATGGAAAGAGATAAGCTTTTCCCAACACAAGCCTGCTCCGATTTTGTATTTTCTTAATCTTGTATATGCTGCTGCAGGAAATTAAACCAAAATTGCCCTCTCTGACATGCACATGTGTGACCGATGGGAGGGGTAGAAGAAGGGAGGCACAGAGCTACTTGAAACGATTGCTCGGGTTTGTCAGAAATGTAACTTTTTGGGAGGTGGTACTGTGAGAGAAGCCCTCCTCATCTTCCTGCTGTGCTGTAGGGCAGTGCCTCAGGCCGCACACGGCCTCTTCTTACATCATGGAGGACCGTTTGTCCCAGCTCACCCGTAGGCCCAGGCGATGTTCAAGACAAGGACCATATGTCCTCCATCACCAGGTCTGAATTGCAGCTTCCTGCTGAACCGGGTCATGCCGTTCATCCACGCACACACCCACACACACAGTCACGTTCCGAACGTATTTTGCACATTACTGAATCCTACTTCTTTCTTCTCTTTCTCTCCCTTTCTCATCTACATCTGCCCATCACTCATAGAAAAGTACAACGTTTACTTGTTAATCAAATCTATATTTAATTTTACTTTCCAGAAGAATGGTCTTTTTCCAGTCACTTCAGATTTTCTCTGCCCCTTCCTGTACTCATTTCTTCTCTGTTTCTAGCCACCCTGTGGACAAGATCCTCTAAACTGAGTATCTCAGCCTCTGCACACACATTCCTGAGGGTTGCCTTCTACCCCCCTTTGCTACCAGTGATGCATTCGCCATCAAGTTAAAGAATGCAGAACATGGCCAGCAGCATCTTGACTAGGAAGGCGCCTGTGTCCCAACAGCTATGTCCCAGTGACCGTCTGCTTCCTCTCCCTGGTCACTGTGGTCTGTTCGCAGGGGAGGCTGCACAATGCAGTCATGGAATGGGCACCCTGGGCTGAGTCCTGAGAGCTAGGGGGTCATCCTCAGCCTAACTCTCAGGCCAGGAAATCTTAGGAAGCACTTCCTTCCATAACATGAGTGTTATCATGACTGGATGATCCTTCTGGAAGGAAGCAGGCTGGGAGATGTGGATGTGAAGCTGGGGGAAGGCCAGGCAGCTGCCCCTTCCTGGCCATGGCTCTGCTTCCAGAGCGGCTGAAGAACAGGAAGTGGTTACCCTACTGTATGACGGGCAGGTCTGCCCCTCCCAAGAACAGGATACACTGGATCAGTGGCAATTAACTTTGGCCCTTGAGGAGCTGGTGTTATCCTTAAAGCTGCAGAAGAGGACGAAGTAAGAGATACCCCTGGAACTGGAAGGAAAGAGCCAGGAAGGAAGATAGGAGTCTGTCGTATGTTCAGAAACATCCCGATGAATCTGACATTGTCGGAGTGATGATAAGATGGCTCTGTCATTTAGCCTCTGAGTCAGGTCAGAAAGAAGCACAGACCATTCTTCAGATGGGGAACCTGGAGAATTACCAGGAGGGAAAAAAGAGGTTGGTCTGGAAGTTCTGAGCACGCCAGGCCCTCGCCAAGCCCAGGGCCTCTGTGAGGGCAGGGAGGGAGGCGAGGCTCAGTGGGTTAGACCTGGCCTTCTTCAGGATGGAGGGTTATGTCCCTCTCTTCCAAGAGCTTTCCAGGCAGTGATTCTGCTCCATTCATCTTCCTCTGCCGGATCAAGCACATCTGGCTCTGTTGAGTAAAAGGGAAGAGAACATCTAAGAGTGCTTTCAAGTAAGAGGATTTCACACGAAGGCTCTCTGATCTGAGAAGGCTGCTCTCTCTGCAGTCATGCTGCCGTACAGGTCTCTGCCTCAGGCCTTAAGATGTCCATAGCAGAGGAGGAGCCAGGGCCGTGTGGAGAAAAGAGAATAAAACATGAGGCATGTGCTGTCTGAATGACATCAGACATTTGTTTTTGATCTTCTGCCCAGAGGAATCTCACAGAGCTGGGCAGCTCCCAAGTCCTCCTCTGCACTCCCGGACAGCTCCCTGCCTGGGGACTTGCTGGCGGATGCTGTGCACCCACAGAGCAGACCTGCCCGAGTTAATAGGAAGTGGGTCCCCACCGCCAGCATCTCAGCTGCAGCCACCTTTGGGCTTTGCAGCTGAGGTGTCACGGGGTAAGGGGCCAGACTGCAAGCGCAGGGTCACAACTGCACTCGCAGAGCGGTCTTCCAGGCTGAGAGGCTGGGGTCAGAGGTGCTGGCGGGCGCGCACTCGCGCTCTCTCTCTCTCTCTCTCTCTCTCTCTCGCTCTCTCTCTCTCTCTCTCTCTCAGCAGCAAATCTAGGCCCCTCCTGTCGGCCTGTTTTCCTTCCAGCCTGAAGGGAACGTTAAAGAGGTGAAGAAAGAGCGGCCGGGCGCGGTGGCTCAAGCCTGTAATCCCAGCACTTTGGGAGGCCGAGGTGGGTGGATCATGAGGTCAAGAGATCGAGACCATCCTGGTCAACATGGTGAAACCCCATCTCTACTAAAAATACAAAAAATTAGCTGGGCATGGCGGTGCGTGCCTGTAATCCCAGCTACTC